ATAAAGCACACTCCAGTTTCTTTCATATAAATGTGTGTGACTGACTCTGTGTGTGTGTGTGTGTGTGTGTGTTGTGCATACTTGCCCTGCTTTTGAAAGGAATCAAGTCTTTCACATCTCATAGCTGTTAAATTTTGTGTGAGCCAAATATTTATATTTCGGCTAATTCAAAATCAACAACGTTTGCCATGAGGAGAAGGGAGCTTTAGGAAGGTTGTCTTTTGTTTTTCTTTTTTCCTTCTTTATTTTTATAGTAACATTATGGGGCTTAATGTTTAATGTCATCTCCATCTTTTTAATCTATGTATTTTCCAAAGAAGATTTAACAAAGAGTTGAAAGTAAAACACTTTAAAAGCCAATGTTAAAGATAGTTATAAATGCACTAGAGGCCCAGTGCGTGAATTTGTCCATGGGTGGGATCCCTCAGCCAGCTGGCGATCACACTGGTCAGGGCCGGCCAGCTGTGGGGAAGACTACAGGAGGCTGGTAGGTGGGTGGGACCATGGGAGTTTGGCTATGGGAGCTCACTGACCACCAGGGTGAAGCTCCTGCCCCCTGGTGGTCAGTACACATCATAGCAACCCATAGACCGTTCATTCGGTTGTTTGGTCACTTAGACTTTTATATACATAGATAGTATAGCAGTTAGTTAAATTAATGTACTTACCATATTTTTCGGACCATAAGACGCACCAGTTTTTAGAGAAGGGAAATGAAGAAAAAAAGATTCTGAAACAAATAGTGTCCTAAAATATTTTATGTGCATTAAAACCCAACATCACAGTCATAAACACATGTAATCAACCCTGTAAAGTAAACAGCAGCATTTAGAACCATTTTAGAGCCGGGCAAGCACACAGAGACCACACAGAGCCGGGCAAGTAAAAAAACTTTTTTTTTAAAGTATATGTGTAGGCTATATTTGGACCATAAGACGCAGGGACTTTTCCCCCCCACTTCTGGGGGGAAAAAAGTGCGTCTTATGGTCCGAAAAATACAGTAATACTCATTGAACTTTTACAGGGGGGAAAAATGTATATAGCATGATAAGCATATTTTAAAATGACCTTGCTTTGCTTTGAGTACGGAAAACATTTTCTAAATTATGCTTTCGTTCAGAATTTAAATTTATCATTTTCTCCTAGAATTTAAATGATATCTTTTATGGATAGAACTGAGAAAATTAGTTATTTTCTTCCTACATTCTCCATACCATACCAGTGTAATAAACAAAAATACTTTTTCCCCCCAATTAAATCCTTTCTAATTTTTTTCTTGTTTTATTTTCTGTTTTTTAATTCTAAAGGCCAGTATTATATGTGTTATGTGACTGTATCTATAAAACACACACACACACACACACAAAAAAAAAAATCAAACAAACAAACAAAAAAAACCCAACAGGTAAAAATCCAAGACTTGGTTCAGTTTACTGTCCAGTGGAGACAGACAATAAGAAAACAAATATGGAATAAAGGGCAAGCAAAGCAGGGAAAAGGGATAATTGCTGTTTTAAATGAGATGGTGAAGAAATGTTTCAGAAAGAAGCTGATAAGTAGAATTTTGAAGAAAAAAAATCATGGTGTCTGGGCAATAAAGCATCTCCAACCAAAATCCTGAGTCAGGAATGTATTTGATGTGCATTTTGTGCAGCAAAGATGGCCCTAGCTGGTTTGGCTCAGTGGGTAGAGCATCTGCCTGTAGACTGAAGGGTCCTGGGTTCAATTCTGGTCAAGGGTATATGCCCAGGTTGCCGGCTCAGTCCCCAATAGGGTGTGTGCAGGAGTCAGTCAGTCAATGATTCTTTCTCATCATTGATGTTTCTATTTCTCTTTCCCTGACCCTTCTTCTCTGAAATCAATAAAAAAAATATTTTTTTTAAAAAGTGGCCAATATGGCTGGAGTAGAAGGAATGAGGGGAAAGTAGAAGACAGTGAGAACAGAGGGATAGTGAGGGGCCAGGTTGTACACAGCCTTGTATAAATGAAGTACAGAGCACTGCCCATCCCCAGCACTGGCAATATTCACAAGAGACATATTTTTGACAGGGAGAAGTAGGTGGGATTGTGCTGTTTGATACTTGCTATATTAATAAAAGTGAACAAACTGTTTTTGCAGAGTATATTTAACGTAGTGACAAATAATTCCTCATTGAGAAGGCTATTTACTAGGTGTATTGGTTAATTGGATTTTTTTTCAATAGATGGAGTTACACATATGTTGATATATATGCAATTTGATATGTATGCTATTTTGTTGTATTGACAACAAGATTCAAAACTTCATATGTCAAATTTTTTGAAGGTGTTCACATCATAGATATTTTCACAATTAAAAATGTCAAATTTCGTGCCAACAAAAGATCATTTGTGGGAAGTTTTAATTCATTACTTTATTTTGAAGAAAAGTCCGGCTGAATACTTTGGGAAGCTTATGGTGAACATGATCCATCTCAAGACACTTTTGAATGTTGGTTTCAACACTTTAAAAGTGATTATTTTGATGTGAAAGAAAAACAATGTCCAGGACAACTGAAAAAGTTTGAAGACCAATAGTTACAAGCATTATTGGATGAAGAGGCATGTCAACCTAAAAAACAACTTGCAGAAAGATTAAATGTTGCTCAGCAAACAATTTCCAATCATTTACAAGAAACAGAAAAGATTTTTTTTTCCAGAAAAGATTTTAAAGGAAGGAAAATGGGTGCCACATCAACTGAACGAAAGACAAATGGAAAACCGAAAAGTCATTAGATCAAGTTCTAAAGAAGTCTAATGGCAAAATTTTCTCCTTTTTAGGAGGTTAGTGTTTCTTAAGGCCCTCAACTGTTGGGATGAGACCCACCCCACATTGTGGAGCACATTTTGCTCTACACGGACTCTATTAATTTAATAAAGTAAAAAAAAAAAAAAAAAAAAAAAAAAAAAAAAAAAAAAAACCTTCGCAGGAACATCTGAGATGTTTGACCATATATCCGGGTACTGTGGCCTAGCCAAGTTGGCACATAAAAATAGCTACCACAGCAAGCTACTCATTATGAGCTTTCACCCTAATAAAAGTGAACTAAGGTACAAATGTAGATAAATATAGATTCTTCATCTAAAATTTACATAGAACTGCTATTTTTACTCAAACTTATGTCTTTTTGTATATTCTTTACTGAAAAGTTTGAACAGACATTTATGATTGTATTTCCAAATGATATTATTTCAACAGGCAATCTCAATTGAATACTAAGATTATATATTTGGGTAGTAATCCACTTTTAAAACCTATTTTTAACACATCCCAAAATTAAAACTGTATAATATGTAGGTTCCCCCCCCCCCTAATTTTATAAACTAAAAATAATAGATATGGGTTTTTGTTGTTGTTGATTTTCATCATTTTGAAGTTACTTTGTAATTGGATAAGAATTTAAACACCAGTAATCAGCCTAGGTTAAATTTTACAGCAGATTACAATAGTACCACATATGTAAGATGTTGCTAATTCCTGAACATTATGACTACTTTCATTTAAAGTGTCACGCCAGACTGTTCTTAATGGTTGTAGCTGGAGAGAGATGGTGGGGGCTGGGAAAGTGGGAATTTCACCATTTGTTGTATATACTAAAGTATTATTAAAATCTTGCATTAAGAGTTGGCATTACTTGAATATTTTACAATATATTTTACTCAGGTTTTTAATTTTTTTAATTCAAGGCCAATGTTAATATAGGTATAAAAATGTGTCTGCCCATCAAAATTACTTTAAAAATTTATTACAGTTAAGACAAATCTATTCATTTGCTGTGTGATATTTCTTCAGACAAGGATATCTTTTTTTCTAGATTCGAGGTCAGAAATCATAATTTATCCTTTATAATTTATCTTTTATTACTGAAAGCTCAATAGCCATTCAATAAATATTAGTTGATTGGATAAAAGTAGTATTGGCCTTGACTGGCTAAAAGTAGATGGTGAGAGAATTTTTTAAATGAACCCAAAACTTTTTTAAAAATCATGTTTTATGGTACTGTGTTTATTTTGGATATACTGTTACAAAGTGATAAAAAAAAATATTGTTTTGTGTTGATCTCAATAATATTTTAATAAAAATAATTAAATCCCTGTGAGAGGGAATAGTGTTTTGTGTCAACTCTGAATTTTGCTAATTGATAACAATAGTACATTGCAGTTCGCACATCTAACCTGCATGTGATAGCCTTTAGAATTATTTGAACAATCTCTTCTGAGATCCTCACTCATTGGTTTGCTGATGGACAGAGATTGTAAAGTAAATGAGACCCACACTGTGTTCATTTTTAACCTGTGCTTGACTTTGAACCTGTATCTTTTCCGATGAGATGCAGTGGGTTATCTCCTTAGAAGCCATTTATTACAAAGAAATGCAGTAAAGTGCATTGGGAACAAAAAAGATGAATCCACACATGATAAAAGAATTTTTCTCAAGTTGTTCAGTCACTATTATCATTTAAAGGAGAGAATCAAAGGGAATTTTCATTTTCCAGATATTCCCCGGTAATGAAGAAACAGCACAATGTGCCATAGCAGGAGGCCAGGTCAAAGGGAAATTCAAATAGATTTATTTATTCTTTTTGAGAAAATGAAGTGATTTTTTTTCTAGCCTTTGTGATACTTCTTTATGAAAACTTGATGACCTCAAGTTAGAAATAAATCTTTCGAGGAAGAGATGCAGCAGAGCAGGAATAATGGTATATATAATTTTTGAGCCGAGAGCAGGATATGGACACATCTTGCTCTGTTGCTGGGATGGAAAAACTGGCTTAGCTTGCCTTGAGTCAAGTGTCTTAGCTAAACTCTCCAACCATTTCTGACCATAGTATTCATGATGCAACTTTAAAGGATCCTGCCGTACAAGTGAGGCTTTTTTCTTATATGTAAGCTGTAGGGGTTGTGTCTTTGTGACATAAATGTCTTCAAAATAAAATGAGTAGGTATAATAAGCAGATAGTCACACTTTTTTCTTTTCACAGGAATTATCAACATAGAAGGAATGCCTTGTGACCATCATACAGATACAGCACCAATGGTAAGGCAGTCTATTTCTGCATTATTAAAACTGATAAGAAGCTACAATGATACTGGTTATAATAATGTCCTTGTACAAAATTCTTATCCTCCCTTTTGTCAGTAGTTATATCCCTCATATTTTTTTAATTAATGAAGAAAATTTACTAATTTTTGCCACGATATGGGAAAATAAGATCTGTATCATTTTTACAGGTACTTATTTATATTAATGTTATACATGGAATGCTTTTTTAATTAAAGAATACTTTATACTTTTTACCCAGCTGGTGTAGCTCAGTGGTTGAGTGTTGACCAAGAGGTTACAGGTTCTATTCTGGTCAGGTCACATGCCTGCGTGGCTGTGGGCTTCCTCCCCAGTAGGGCATGTGCAGGGGCAGCCGATTGATGTTTTTCTCCATCCATCATTCTGTCTCTCTATCCCTCTCTCTTCCTCTTCTCTAAAATCAATAAAAACATATTAAAAAATATTTTATACTTTTTATAAAGTAATGCAAATATATATGTGGAAATTGATTTATACCCTTTTTTAAATAGATGTTATTTTGAGCACTAACTTCATTTAGAGTGAATGATTTGTAGTAGTGGAATTATGCTTCCATTTCATTATATGTTACTAGGCATTATTATTATCAAGTAAAATCCTGTATTTTATCCCTCTTATATTACTACCAGGCAATAAAAGGCATTTAATAATCACAGTATCATTTACTATATTAAAAATAATTATAAAAGATAATATAAAGAGAGATTATTAAAATTAGTATCTGAGTATAATATTTATATAAAATATATATCAATTGATAGTTCCCACTATCAATTTATAAGATAACATAAAGTATATCTTACTGTTCTCAAAGCATAATCTTATTTCTTTTCCTTTCTATTCAGTACAGCTCTTCATTTCCTGCTACTAAAAAGCTACTAAAAAATTCTTTTTAAGAAAATGAAGATAATATTCTACTATACTTGAGTTTTATTGATTATATTTTTCTCTAGGAAAAATTGACTCCCATTTTTTCTTTGTAATGAATCCATATGATTAATTCAACATATTTGATGGTTTACTATGTGGTGCTCTAGTAAAGACCAGTGTTTGAGGAATTAATCAGTGTAATGATAACAAATACTTGATTATAGTGTATATTCCAATTATATTTAGTAGCAGTAACATTTTATAAAATATATTCTTTAATATTAAAATTAAAGATAAAAATTATGGAAAACAAATTATTTTAATGTATTTGAATCATTGGATTATTTTTCATACTTTTGAAATTTATGTTATTCATGTAGGCATTTCTGTGGCACTGGTGTTCACATTTCTGTGTGTGTTTTTGTGTGTATGTGTGTTTTTTTGTTTTGTTTTGTTTTTTTGTATATTCTGAAACTCAGAAAAAGACAGCCTAGCAGTTTTTTTGTCTTAACGTGTAGGCTAGTTATAGATGCATATGTTAATTAAATGATAAAATAAAAGAACTGAATCCTCAAGAACTCATGAGAAATAATGATATTAACTTATTCAGTAATTATTTCAAAATAACACCAGTGAATTAGGAACAATCTATCCTATATAATAAAGAGCTAATATGCAAATTGTCATGCCATCACTCCTTTAAAGGATCAGACATTCAACACTGGGGAGAGAGGAATGGGAACTAGCCAGGCACAGATGAGCTTACAAGAGAGGAATGGGGACCAGCTAGGCACAAATGAGCTCGTGAGAGAGGAATGAGGACCAGGCAGGCTGCGACCTGGGAGAGGAACAAGCTGCAAGCTCCACGTTCCTGGGCACCAACACCTGCATCTGTGGCCTGCGAGAGGGACAAACCACCCACCCTACAGTCCTGAGCACCAGTGCCTGTGGCTGTGGCCCAGGAGAGGGACAAGCTGCCTGCCCCGTGGTCCCCCGTGGCTGTAGCCAGCTCAGGCGAAGCTGGGCTGGGTCCTGAGTGCCTGCAGCTGGCCCAAGGGAGGGAAGCCAGGTCCCAGGTGCCTGCGACTAGCCAGAGGAGGGAATCCTGGGTCCCAGGTTTGGGGCAAGGCAGAGGTGGTTAGGAGTGATCAGTCAGGCTAGCAGAGGGATTAGGGGTGATCAGACATGCAGACAGAGGGATTAGGGGTGATCAGGCAGTTAGGCAGGTGAGCAGTTAGGAGCCAGTGATCCTGGATTGCAAGAGGCAGTTGGACATTTTTTGAGGGGTCCCGGATTGGAGAGGGTGCAGGTCAGGCTGAGGGATTCTTCCCTTCATGCACGAATTTCATGCATCGGGCCTCTAGTGTATATATAAAAACCTAAGTGACCGAATGACTGATCAACTGGTCACTATGACATGCACTGACCATCAGGGGGCAGATGCTTGATGCAGGAGCTACCCCTTGGTGGTCAGTGCACTCCCACAGCCAACTTCCTGCAGCTGGCCAACCTCCCACTATCCCTCCCACCTGCCGGCCCAATTGGGACTGGGCAAGATGGCCCCAATAGGTTCCCAATTGCCTGCCAGGCCCAGGGACCCCAGCCATGCAGGAATTTGTGCACTGGGCCTCTAGTCGCTAATAATAATAGTTCAGGTGCTGTTGGTCTTTTGATTATGTTTTTCCAGTTGGATTATTAAATGGTAGTCCCTATTATATTAATAACATTTTCACTCTGTGCAATCAGTTAGTTTTAATATACTTGGTTTATGCAGGCACTCCCCAAACATTCAGTTATCCAGGTTTTGACTTGAATCAAGCTTCCTTTTTGCGTGTTTTAAAGCTCTTCTCCTCTCTTATTGCTGCAAATTAAGCATATTTTACTTCCCCACTTCCTCAGGGTCTTTCGGCTTACTGACAGTTAATTTTGTCCCTTCCTCCATAACCTCTAGATAGGATCACAAGTGTGTTCATAACCCATTATCCTGGAAGTAAAGTCTCACTTTCACAAAAAAATGTAATTTTACCTAATTTCAGCCCTTTGGATCTATATGCTCTTATTTTCATTAAAGGGATTAAGATGAGAAAATATTTAGAGACAGAAGATAGAGGAAAAAGACTGTCCAAAAATTTAAGGTGGGTTATTTGTAAGTTCAGACTTTGTACTATATTAGCCCAAAAAAGAGAGATATTATCGGGGTCTAAGAAAAAAAAAATAGAAAAGGAGTGTGGTAGCATTTCAGAATAGCTGAGTCTGGGGCCCTGAGTGACTTCTTTACCCCGTACCCAGCTTATTTCTCTACACATTATCACCCCACTTCCCTGTTGCGCCAGGTACTACCATGAGTGGCTTGGGTCTAGAAGTGTGTGAGATGATAGCTACACGTACACATCAGGTGGGGGAAATGAGACTTTCTCAAGTCTCTATACAGGGAAAGATGCGTATCTCGATATTCTAAGTTAGGAGGAACTTTTCACTAAAAGTAAAGTTTGATACTGTAGCATTGTAATGTGATACAGTGCTTTTAGAAAATATAGGTTATCTGTGTCAGGCAGAGGTGATTCTTTCTCAGATTTGATGTTTATATGCGTGGCTTCCTTTTCCCTGACTTTTGTCCTGAATGGTATTCACTCATATAGTACATTTTAGTACTATAGGAAAAGCAAATAAAATATTAGACAATCATGATATTCAATTACATGAAAATAATTATAAACATGCCACTTTAAGAACTAGTTGTGCACCTGCTTATAGCCTACAGCAAATTAAGGATACTATCAGACAGATTAATCAGAGGACATTGTCTGAACCCTGAAAGGAGGTATAAAAGTTAGTTAATAGTTAAGTCAATACAGGCTTGAGTCCCATATTTACCTTAAATGAAGGACTTATTTGCAAATCAAAGAGAAATAGTAACTAGCATAAGGAAGTCTTCTCCTACATGCTTGGTCTTTTCTTATTTGAGATGATTACATGAGGAATATAGTTAAAAACATACCTGCCCTTTAATTTTCAACCATATTGCACAGCAGTTTCCATAGCTTTCATATTGTCTGGTGCAATTAAAGCATGGTAAGCCATGCTGAATATATAAATAACTATTTGTGATTTGAGGATAATTACTTTTGAATGTCTTCCAATGAAAACAGGTGTGATAAAATTCAGATAGCATCAGCGTGGCCTGTTGTATAAGTTACTGGTTTTTGTAAAGCTTCTTTAATTCCAAATCTGTAATACTAAATAATATTACTCTTTCTCATTTTATTCAGTGATTACACAACCCCCATTTAATGAGAACAGTTTTTCTTTTAACAAGTGGACTTTTTGGCAGTTTATAAAACTACAACTTGCATTTTCACAGAAGCCTTCACATTTACCACAACAGGTTGAAACAAAATCCAGGCTATCTCCTGGAACACTCTTGCCATTCATCTAAGTATTTAATTGTTAGGAATTAAAATATCCTAACTTGATTGGAAATTTAAATATTGATTCATTCTTCTTTTTCATTATAAGTCCAATCCATTAGCAAGCTGGTCATTCAGTCTGCAGTTATACTTCTTCTAGGTCTTCTAAGGGTTTGATAGATAAATTTTTGTCATGTAATTTTTCATTAATAATAAACTTGAATGCTTTAAAGTGTTTTACTGTTCTGAAAACTTATCTGAGATATTTGTGATGTTGCTTGCCCTTAACACTAATGTTATTCACAAATGTACCTATCTGAATTCTGTAAATTTAATCTGAGATTCTTTAATTTTTATGATATCAATATCTATTCTACCACATTTTGATTTGTTATGGGCTGTTATTGTCTAGCACACTCTCTAGGGTTACAAATTATCTCATATTGCATTATTTATGCATGTATACATGCAAAATATATCTTCCACATTTTAACTTAATATTTGGGGCAGCTTGTTTATGGATAAATGCATGAGTTTAAGTGGAATGTCTTTGATCCAAAGGAATCACTTATTTTCTCCAATTTGTAGCATTTTCCAGGAATTCATAGTATGTGAATTGGGGTAAATGTATCCCTATAAAACTCATAAAATAAAACCTAAGGCCAATCTCTTCCTGTA